AGAGTTACCTGTATTTTAGATTTCTGGCATTCAAGAGTGTAAGAGCAAATATTTATTCAACTTTTACTCAACTACTGTAAGAGAAATATTCACTGGCTTCAATTTTAGCGAGTGACTTTAAATTCGCTGGTTGTGAAAGAAAAAATACATTCTATTTTTTAACTTTGCATATACATAGTCTATTATTCACTGGGTTTTTGCTGATACATGTAGTTAAATGTGCAAAATCAAAACCCTATGAATAGATGAGTTTTGTGTTCCCATGCATGTTCCATGGTTGCTACATTATTGAACATGCTCGCAAAAGGAAGAGGGGGGTCGATTTTACAACCGTTGTTCGTTTACCCGTTTCCACCAGTTTTTTCGTAAGTTGAATATGCATCTTTTTCCCCCAGAAACATTTTACAAGAGCATGTACAGACATAGAGATATAAATGATAGTTTGTCTTTATTCATTTTTAGAATATGGTCGTAAAACATGAAAAGTTTTATGAAAAGTTTGTAAACTGTCAAATGTAATGTTGGATGTCATTACAGAATCAATATGTGTGTTACAAAACTGAGGCTGGTATAGTAAAATAACTGCCTAAAACTGTGTAATTTTGCTGACTGGAAGTGAATCCATGTTGATTTGACCCTATTTGCATGCATGGTAGCTTAGCAACCAGGGAACTTTGGGAACCCCAGAACAAACTATTAAGCTCCACAAAGTACAAACAGAATAATGCATACAAGATACACAGATAGTACTTGATAATAATGCACAGATCAACCTTGATTTAAAAAGTAATAACAAAATTTGACCAGGAGAGCATTTGAAAGTAAACATCAAAATAAGTTCCACTGTTAGACATCTGAACATTTATATAGTGGAACAGGCATTTTTTTATGTATCGGTATATATAAAAAAATAATACATAATGTTTTCTATCTCTAAAATAACCAATATGTAAACATAATTTTACATTGAAAACTAGTTAGGGAATACACTCAAGTATTAATTAGGTGTTTGACCTTTTGTGGTCAATCATGATTTTAAAGAAAGCTGATCTGCAAAGTAATAAAATATATCAACTTGGCACTCACATGAACTTATTCAC